AAAGACCTTGGCTTTACCTGGCATAATCTGATCAGGTTGAGCAGTGACTTTCCTGGTGACATTTTTTGTTGCAAAGTGAAAATAGATTGGTATTTAACATCTTTTGGAAGATTTTCCTTTCCTTCTAAGTGTCAGTTATTCAACTCTCAGCACCAGAGAGGTAAATTTTCATGACCCAGTCTTGCCATCGATGTGATGGGAGCAGGAATCAAGCCCTGTCTACTCTCAGGAACACACCAGAAGCAGGAAATTATTTCATGTTGAAGAAGCCAAACATCACACCTTTGAAAACACAGTATCTTCACAGTAATAATCTATACCCAGTAATTAAAAATAATAATGATTTCAGTTTATGTAATTCTTCCAGAACTGAATTTTCTTTCAGGGAATCCAGCACTTCTTTTTTACAATATCCTGTGGTTAAAGGATAATCAAGTCGGTTTTTGGATATTAAAGACTAAATCCTTCATATATTCCCATTTCAGACTTTTTCATGTGATTCTTAGAACTCTTTCTCTTTAGCTGATTTAGATTAAGCCCTGTAACTAATGCCAAAAATGTATTCCTGTCTTGAAAAGGGATTTTGTAATGCTGGCATCGTACCTTTTTGTCTCTTTATGGCTCCTTGTCAAAACTATATGCTTTACAAGTTGTTTTTTTTAAAAAAACCCTCTTTTGCAGCCTTGGTCTGGCACCCAGCAGTCAGGCTGAGTTCCTCTGGCCTCCAGGAGCTGCACAGGCTGAACTCCACACTCCCTCCACACGTGCTGCTCCTGTCGCCCAGTGCCCAGGAGCAGAGTTGGGTTTGAAAACCTCTTTCAACGTTTTGCTGGTGATAATCAAGCCACAACAGAGTAATAGGAAAAAGAAGTGCCTACCTAGAAATGCAGCTGAGGTGTTCCTTTCCCCTTTGAGAGCAGCCTCTACCCAAACTTCTTGTGTTTGGCAGTGACAGGGCTCGTCCTCCAGCTCCACTTGAGGTCCCAAATCTGACTGCAGTGTTTCAGCAGCATATTCCCAAAGCCCTTCCTTTTCCCTTCCACCCTTCTCCTGTCTCTCAACGTTGTATGCGACCAAAACATTTACAATATGATTTTATTTCAGGATCCTTTCCATTTTTGTAAATAAATCAAACGCCTGTTCCTTTTATACAGCTGTAATTCACCCACAATGTTGCAGTAGAGCTTATTATCTCATTTACATTTTTAAGTGCTTTTCAAAGTGTAGGATATCTGGGCTGGAAAGCAAAACATTTCATTTCTTTGTTCTCAGGCCAACACAAAGCACTTCCAAGGTCAGGTATGGTGTAGACTTTCAACAGCAAACATGTTTACATGGCATTTGAAAGCTGGTTTAACTGTAAAAAAAAGAAACCCCAACCCAACCCTGCCTTTCTAACAGTGATGTAAGTCAGCTTCAGAGAGCTGAGGGACAAGGATTTGTTCTGTACCTGGAAAAATTTAACTAAAAAAAGTTAGGCTTTGGTTTCCATTCAGGGAAAAAAAGCTTCTGACACTTAAAAATTGGCTTGGTTTTTTGTTAATTTTTTTCATCCCTTTTTCTTCATCCCAGCAGTTATTAAACATAAGCTCTGTTCCTCTTTGGGCAAAATCTGACACTTTGAAGCTGCAGAATAAAAACTGCATTTCTGAACAAAACAAACCCCATTGTTTAATTTTACAAAAGAGATGTTCTGTGGTGTACCTGGGCTAAGTCCTTTGCTATTTTTAAGAGTATTCTACGTGATAAAAGCTTCTCTGTTAGATGCAGATAAAGATTAGAGGGCACTGGGTAGCTTCAGAAACAGCTATCAGCATTCAGGCTCTGGCCACTGCACATGAAGCTTTTTGACAATAGAGAGAATTTTCAGTGTGATCTTCAAACGGGTGCATTATTCATGACATCCATCATGAATCCTCCTAGAAAATTAAAATCATGGGCAACAAACTTGCTTACTTCTAGTTACTATTTTCAGAGCTAATCATATGCAGGAATCTGCAGCATCCATGAGATTTTGATGTTACTTCTTTTTTTTTTCTTTATTTTTGGCATAGCTTTGATCAAATGATGATGGTTTGGTTTTACTTTTTTTGTCCTTGTGTTGATAAGAAAGCTGAAATACCCAAATGAGCATTAATTACTCATGGAATATCCTTTATACACAAAATTAGATTCTGCAGAGTGACCAGGAGGAGAGCTGGTATGCAACACAACCATGGTCCAAAACCAGTCATGTTAGAGATATTCATGCTTGATCAGAGGAGTTAGGCTTTTTTTTTTCTGCCATCCCAAAACAAAATAGACCAACAGCCAGTTATGGTGTGGTTGGAAAAGTCTGTAAACTCATGCAACATATTCTGGCTTGACCATTGGTGAGTGGATAATTATAAGACTTGATAGTTTGCTGCATTTATATGCTGCAGCAAAAATGTCTTATCTCTAAATTCTACTTGTTTAAGACATTGTCTGCTCTCATAATGAAAGCAAATACGTGTGCTCCATGCTGGCAAACACTATCTAGAGTAGGTGGACCTAACAAAGACTCTGTTATCTGAATTTCCCAAATTAAATTACTTTAAGATGCATTGCAAACAATCAGATTTAAAGGGACCTCTCATTTTATGTTCTGCAATATGTGTTTGTTGTAAATAAGTAAAAATGGAGAAATGAAGAAAGGAGGCAGCAGGGCAGCAGTTCTCTCCCTGGCCACCATGTGGCTGCTGTCTTCATTAGGAACAAATTGAGATCCTGCTTTGTATTCAGTGCTTGCAGATTTATGTGATGGAGCATGACATAAATCTGTTCTTTGAGATAGATATATATTTGTACACATGCATACACACCCATGCTATCTCTTGACCATCTCCAAAGTCCTGCAGAGTGAAACTTGCTCTTGAGCACCAGGGTGGGATGACTGATGTGCAGTGAGGTTTCCTCCCTCCTTATTTTTCACCATGCCAAGCTCTTTGGACTGTATAGGCTGATCCCATGGAAACAGCAGAAGAAGAGGGGTCATACTTTGTGATTTATCCAAAATGTGCTCTGTGAACGTTCCTGAGAGTCGTCCTGTACTGGTTCTGTCTGGACTCTTTGGAGGTATGGCAGGACTTCAGCCAGAGGAATGGGGTCTGTGCTGATCTTTCTGGTACATGGAGTGGCTGGTTTTTAAATCAAAGTGTGCTTGTTTGTGTTTTACCTTACAAAATTAGATGTACAAGAAGAAAACAAAAAGCCTACAATTCACACATAGATTTCATTATATTAATGCAAATTCCTGGTACTGCAAGACTTGTTGAGTATTGAAGACTGGTTATATATTCAAAGCCTGGTTTTCAACATTTCTCAGAAGTGGTGATAGCATAAAAGTCCCTGGGCAGATTTGAAGTTCATGCTTGGGTCTGGTTAAATTTTTTGGCATCAGAACATGTAATAGTCTTATAGCTATAAGACTTTAAAGTTAATGCCTGGCATCACTTCAAAACAATGTGCAAGATCTATCATAAGTAGTCCTCTTATCTTATCTCAATAGCAATTTTATCCTGTAAATGATTTGAAAGTACAGTATTTCAGTGCTGTGGAAAAGAGCAAGGTTTTTTTTTTTTTCTGTTAAATCTTTGCACTGTGAGTACTTTTAATGATCCTGGTTTATGTATGGGAATTCTGCTTGGAGGAAGCAGACATTAACCATATTTCATGTTTTGCAGAGCACACTAAGAGTCCGTGGACTCGGTCTCTCCTTTCCGGGGCACTCTGAGAAGGTCTCTGTGCAGCTCAGCTTTTCACAAAGCAGCACTGGAGGCACCTTTGGTGTCGTTTCTGGCCTGTCTCCAGGGCGAGTCCCTCCCCAGGTCCAGTCCTGACTCTGCACCACACTTTTCAGCTGATGGGTAGCAATGCCCTGATTTCCTGGCATACAAAAGATAACTCAAAATATTCCCTTTCTGCTGCCACAGCCGCCTCTGTGGCGGTGTCAATCTAACATCCACATTGTGCACTTTGCTTCAAGTCAGCACTTGCAGCTAACAATGCCTTCATTCAAGCTGACAACATAACTAAGCTTTTAGTAAATGTGTAAGTAAATGTTAAGTGTGTATTCAAACATTCAACAATGACTAGGAAACTTAAAAAAAAAAAAAAAACAACTTTGAAACTTTGTATTGTTTGTTTGGTGTGTGTCTGTTAGAAATAACATAGGCTATCAGTTCCTTGGGGCACGACTGTTCTTTTGTTAGGCATCTAACAAAAAGATCAAGGCTTGGAGGGACTGCTGTAATAAAAATAAATGTATAAGAAGAACAAGAGTGACAAAGTAAATTTGTCAATGCATTTTATGAGCTCGGTTTAGAAGTGATTATTTCTGAACTAAATAAAGACTGGATAGTTGTGGTAAAGTGACACGATCATAAGATTCATTTTATTTATTGGCATTGATGCTTCATTTGGAGATCACGTGCCAGACTGGTGGAGGGTGGGAGGGGAGCCCCTCATCTCGGCGAGCATCCCGGCTCAGTAATGTGGAATACATTTTCACTGCAAATTCCAGACATGGTTTTCCAGAGAGAGGATTATTCTTCTGGCTTAAAGGAAAAGTTATTGGCACGCTGCAGAAGTGTTCTTAGGATGGGCAGGTTGTGCAAATAAGGTGGTAACGAAAATCAGAGACATTTGCCATGGCAAATGCCTTTGTTGCAACATTTCCATTTCCATTTGAGGATATTTATTATGTTTTTAGTCTGGATACTTGTAGCCTATAATAAAATAAACTGACTAAGATTTAACTTCTGCTCCTCAGTCAGTGTTCCTACCTGTGCAGAGTGACTTTACTCAACAAGCGTGGTCCAGCTGGGTCTGTCCCACGCTGGCAGCAAGCAGCTGTAGCTGAGGAGCTGTGCTGGTACCGTGCCCTTTTCTGAATCGTCTCGTGGAAAGACATCACCTGTAAGCTCTTCTGCCATCCCGGGTTTCTCACTCAGGTTTTGCATCCCTTGGTGTTGTTTCAGGCCTTACAGGATGACGTGGAAGGTTACCGCACCCAGGCGCGGGCCGCAGAGAAGAGGCTGCAGAGCAGGGAACTGGAGTTCCACGAGCAGGTACCAGCTGCTGTCCCCCCGTCCTCTTCCCCTGGGCAAGGAGATTCCATGTTTAAAAATAATACCTTGCTTCAAAGCTAAAGCACATATTTTCCTGAGAAATTTTCAGCTAGCTTTATTTTCTGTTTTGGGGGGTTTTTTTTGTAATAAAAGAGAATTAAACTGTCTGAACCCTACAGGCAAATGCTTATCTCATGCTCTATTTCAAGTTGGTATTTCAACTATTCTAGCTTTTAAATGGTGCATTTATTTTGAACTGTTTATACTGTTTTAGCAGAGGTTTCTGAGACTATTCTAACCTGTTGTTTAGTGGCTTGTATGAAGAAAATTCTAATTGGACAATAACAGAGCTAAAATTAATCTTTATGCCTGATCTTATGCATTCATTGTCCTAGCATGTTGTCTGTAAACAGTTCCATATGATCAATAGTGCTAAAATTATTCTGGACACCTGCAGTGAAATCAGAGCTACAGTGTGCTTCAAGCAAAATAGTGCCTGTAGTTTGCAGACTGGTATTGAAACACAAAGTCAATGATCTGCATTCAGACCACATTAAATTGAAGTATTCTGGAAAGCAGACAGGTGGTAGAGCTCTGAATCACAAATTTACAGATTTCTAATACAAATCACTTTTTGAAGCATCTCAGAATTTTATTTGGTGGTGAGTAAACAGTGTCCTTAACAAGTATCTCTGAATCTGTACCTGCAGGAATAGTAAGTGAGGGTGGTTGAAGAAGAGTAATAATGAATTTCAAATATTTTTGCCCCAGTTGTTGTCATCCTACCTGTGCATTGGTGTTTAAATTCATGTAATTGCTCTCAGCACAGTCAGTGATTAACTGTTCTGCTCTGTTCCCCCTCTACCCCCAAAATCCAGATGTTGGGCCAGGTTCACCCTCAGCTGCAGTACTTGCAGCTTCACAGGAATTTGGGGCAATGAGTGAGTTTGCCTACAAGCATTACATTTTGGCTTCAAAGAGTCTCCTGGAAGAGAAGATGGTGCATGGCTGTCCCTCCTAGGGAACAGCACTGGCCTGCACTCTATGAGTCCTCTTCCAAACCTCCTCTTTTTAGTTTTTCTTTAATCTTTGCCACTGGCTTTTCTCTTTTGTTTCTTTTCTAGCATGTTTTGACAGGGGATCATAGAATCATAGTTTGGTTTGTGTCAGAAGGTACCTTAAAGATTATCTACTTCCAACCCCCTGCCACAGGCAGGGACACCTCCCACTAGACCAGGTTGCTCCAAGCCCCCTCCAGCCTGGACTTGGAACACATCCAGTGATGAAGTATCCACAGTCCCAGGGCAACCTGTTCCAGAATCTCACCACCCTCATAGTGAAGAACTTCTTCCTTACATCTAATAAATTCCAGATGTTGGGCCAGGTTCACCCTCAGCTGCAGTACTTGCAGCTTCACAGGAATTTGGGGCAATGAGTGAGTTTGCCTACAAGCATTACATTTTGGCTTCAAAGAGTCTCCTGGAAGAGAAGATGGTGCATGGCTGTCCCTCCTAGGGAACAGCACTGGCCTGCACTCTATGAGTCCTCTTCCAAACCTCCTCTTTAATCTTTGCCACTGGCTTTTCTCTTTTGTTTCTTTTCTAGCATGTTTTGACAGGGGATCATAGAATCATAGTTTGGTTTGTGTCAGAAGGTACCTTAAAGATTATCTACTTCCAACCCCCTGCCACAGGCAGGGACACCTCCCACTAGACCAGGTTGCTCCAAGCCCCCTCCAGCCTGGACTTGGAACACATCCAGTGATGAAGTATCCACAGTCCCAGGGCAGCCTGTTCCAGAATCTCACCACCCTCATAGTGAAGAACTTCTTCCTTACATCTAATCTAAATCTCCTCTCTTCCAGTTTGAAGCCATTATCCATCATCCTATCACTACAAGCCCTTGTAAAAAATCCCTGCCCAGCTTGCTTGTGGGCCTCCTTCAGATACTGGGAGGCCAATACTGGAAGGATCTAGAAGAAGAAACAAAAAATGACTTGTGAAATCCAGAGGCAGAAGGCTAGACTTGCAAATTCACAGGATGATCCCCACTTTATGCCTTCAGGGTTTTCTCCTACTTGAGCACCTTGTCCAAACCAGCCTAGAGGACTAGCCTGTTGACACAAAATTAATGAAGGGCTAGCTCAGCTCTCCTGTTCCCCAGCATCAATGGAAGAGAAAGGTTATTTCAGTGACACTACACTCTGCAGCTCGGTGCTAACATGTAGCAGACTTATGGCAACACTTATATCTGAGTTTGTCAGTGGTCTTGTCTTTGTCATCTATCCATGGGGACTTTCTGAAGAAGCTGGAGCCATTGAGGATGGTTTTGTTTAGGTGGTTTTGGTCTGTTTTGCAGACAAACATTTTGAAAGTTGTTAGTGTGTCTTCTCTGTGACTGGGTAATGCATTTGTTATGCTTATCTCTCCAGAAGAAAGATGCAAAAATGACAGCTCTGACATATTTCCAGTGACTACATCTTGGCCAGGCTACCTGTAAACATGTTCATCAAATATTAACAGTAGTTAACGACTCACCAGCCGAGCAGGGAGTTGAAATATTTAAGGCAGTATCTTAGAGCTTGCTTTCCACTTTTACCAAATACTGTCTGAATCAGAATTGCATAAACCATCAAAATCTGTGCTGGCAGTATTACAAAGGGCACTTTTCTGAGATTTTACGTGTCTATAAATAAGGAGGAGAGAGGGTTAAACAGCCTCTGCTTTTCATTAAAAGGAAAAATCTTGTGTTTTGATTCTAGAACAACAACAAACAAATGAATGAGACATGAAAAAACATTTTGTTGTGCTTTTAATTAAAAAGAAAAAGCTGTTTCTTGTTACGGCTTGTTGGGTGGTATCTTAGTGCTCCATGTTTGTCTTTATTTCAGTGCAATGTCCTTGTAACTCTTCAGTCTCTAGGAGTGACTGATAGATCCTGGAAGCTTAACTCTTTGTTAGAGTAACCCTCTGGTGCTGCACAGAGTTAACCTTTCATTGTTATAATTATCCAGAGAGGCAGAAGCAAACTGTCCTATAAATGGAGAGGAAATACATTAGAAGGACTCTGATGGCAAGCCCTGAGATGGCTCGAGGTGACTGTGGTGCTGCAGTTGCAGATGAGCTGTTGGATTTACAGAGCTCTTTCATTCCAGTAGTTCATGTTCTTTTGTGAACTTGTGTTCATTCCTCTTTACTTTTCCAATCCCCTTTACGTGTGAGTAGATGGAATCACATTATATCTGTGTTTTTCCATCACTAGTGCACTATGGCAATGTCAGCTGCATGATGACTTCCAATCCAAAATGAACATAAGTTTGTCAAAACTGCTTGGGAACTTCTCCCACTTTGATTAGCCTAAGTAATTTTATCTTTTTCATAAAGGTTGTCCTGCTTCTGCTGAACATGGTTTTCTAGGACAATGACCCATATGTTCAGTAACACTGCACTTCTGGATTGGAGTCTCAGAACAGGATCATCATTCTTCATGACAAAATGCTGGATGTTTTCTTCAAAAATTAGATGTCCAGCTTCTTGACACATTTGTAATTGTAGTTCATGGAAACCAGCAAGGTAGCAGTAAGTAAAGTGTAACTCACACTTAATACGTAGCTTTAGATATACATAGGGGTTTTGATATATAGTCCCAAGGCAGTTAAAGCAGTCTGGGAAGGTTCCTAGGATTTTTGGGGGTGTCCAAACCTTTTCGTTTGAAAGCAATGCTGAAGTTTCTTATGTCTCTACCTCTGGGAAGCAGCTCCCCTCAACTAATCCCATGTGGGCTACGTTCCTGTATTGTGTACTCTTGTAGGGTATCACTTGGTTCTCTCTGATACGTGCCTAGATCTAATGTGAGACAAGATTTCTGATAGAAAGAGCTTTCACTCTGCTAAAAATGTTTCTCAGTTTTGAGTCATATGGCTTTGTGCAGTTGTCAGTCATAGTTTAAAAATCTACATTGTTCATGCAGCAGATTTTATATCCTGTGAATATATAATTAAAGATGATGCACATCACTGAGAGCTTAAGTGTGGACCTTAATGAATACAGGAATTCAGGCATGAGCAACAAAGTTTGCTGAATTTGGAGCCTGTATAAGAGTTAATGGTAGTGATCTTCTTGCTTTAGCAGCTAGATTTCTTCAGAATACCTAATTTCATGTCAAATTCCTTTTTGTAAGGGTAGTCACCCCAACTTGGTGACTCCAAGCTCCAAGAATCTCTTTTGAGAATTACACACAAGATTTTTTTCAGAAAAAAACCCACCCTATTCTTTTCATTCCTTGTTCTAATGTTTTTAACTATGGGGTAGATTGGGTATGATGTAAAATTTCTAACTGGGGTAATAGAGTGAAAAAGTTCCCATGTTCATATATAACTAAAGTAGCAACACGGTAGATACACCACAGGAACACTCCTCCAAGCAGTTAAGTCACAAATAGAGTCTTAAAGCAGAGAGATTCTCTGAAGACAGAAAATCAATTATGTTCAATTCGTGAATATTACTGAGGAAATGAAGGAGAATACCAATGTAGATTTCCAGCCCTTTAATTTCTTTTTTCTCAAATAGCTTATGAAAAAGGGAGAAAGGAGTTATCTGAATAAGGGTGTTTTAGAAGTATTTGGAATAAAATGGAACAGCTTAGTTCGTTAAGTGGATTTCACTCGTGTTCAAACAAAAACAGGAGTGATAATTGTAGAAGAGCTATGATTCAAAAGCATTCAGCAACTTTTCAATTTTAGTGTTTATTATTCTGACTTGCTCAATTTTTCATGACTGCTGGATATTTACCACATTCAGCCTAACTTACTGTTTCCATGCCAACTAAATATATTTGTTCTCAGATGAATGCTGTGATGCATCATTCTGAAATTTCAGTTGCTGTGTAGCACAGAGAACTTCTAACATTTGCCACACCTTCTCCTTGATGGGAATACTGCTACCGCCTGCAGATTTGTGGAGCTGTGAGTAAAGTACCAGTAAGACAGCAATGAGCAACAT